GGCAGTCTTTTAGGTTTGTAATCTGGGTAGTGCTGCAGAATACAATAAATGCATTACTTCTAAAATAGAATAATTCTTACTTGAAGTTATACAATACATTTCTCCAAGTTGAAGTCTTAGGCAGAGGTCTCATCATTAACTGTGTGAAGATAACACTTTTTCTTTATTGGAGCTTTACTCAATGTGTTTTCTTTTGACTGTTGCAGGTACTGGTCTGAGTCTGTCTTTCCTGGCAGTCGGGTTCTTGCTGTCTGCCCTAAGTTCACCACCCATCACCCTGCACCAGGTCGACTCTCAGAACTCCACCTGTAGACTGTATGGGTAAGACATCGCTAATCAGCTACATTTCAGTCTCATGTCATTCATTTTTCGTGATGACACTTTATAGTCTTATTCTCATAAATAACTGGCATATGAAGACAATGCAGTGTTATGTCAAGATATATTTTTTGGTTTGCTTGTCATTCTTTATTGTAAACATCAACGATATATGTGAAGTTTTGCTATCAGTTCCTAAAAGTGAAATCTATTTTCTCATCTCACTGTCTTAATGTTGTAATCTCACATTTATGTGGCTTGTCCTAGTGGGTCTCTCAAATAATGACTTGACTACTGGGGGCAGCCCTTAATGTGTATTATCCTGTGAGAGGTTTCACATTCAGCTTGGTCTTCCAGGTCCTGTGAACACTGCATGCTGGATTCCAACTGTGGATTCTGTTATCGTGAAAACGCCTCTGGAGTGTACGACTCCTCCTGCGTTCCTGTCAATCAAGCGTCCAGTGATCACGCAGCTTGGGGGAGGTCAGACCCTGATTATCTGTGTGTCAATAAGCAGTGGAGGCAGATGCACTCACTTTCTGTATCTTTAAGGCTCAAGCTAAATAAGAAACACTGAGGATGCTGCTGCATTTTCCAAATACTGGGACAAAATAAGGCATATACATTTGCCTGTAAACAGACTTATTTTGCAGGATTATTAAGGTGGAATTGAAACATGCTTATTGTCAAAACCTGTAGAGAAATGTAGGCTAAAAATCACACATCCTCTCAGTGGAGGAAGTAATGATCATTTGTGCTCTGTCTACAGTTGCACACTTCCATATACACCAGTTGTATTCTCACTTTAACTCACTTATCTCTTTATCCTCACTAAACATGAGGATAAGGGGAAATAAATGATCATGGCTGACTTGTCTGTTTTTATTAAGAAGTACAATCAGCCTTTAAAAGCAGGAGCAGATGTAGAAGAAAGGACCAAGTTTCTTTTAAAAACTGTTGGTTGTAGGTTTCAGTTTCCTAATTATTATTATTTTTTATCCAGCTGTTCCAACCAGACAGAGGCAGCTGACAGCCCATTTTGGGCCTACAACTACTGTCCAACATCCTACTCCTGGATTGTCCTGCTGGGCCTCATCCTCTATCTTGCATTCTTTGCACCAGGTTTGAAATTAATGAACATCTAACAGTCTTCCTGTAAGTCACGGATGAGTCTTTGTCTTTCAGTAAAAATAAATCATATGTGTACAATAACCTAGTTTCCAGAGAAGGGGAAAGCTTGTCGTTACTGTGCCTTAAACAGCTCAGAAACGTTTACCACTAAAATACTCAAACAAGCAGTTATTATGCATAGGATCATAAAGATATATGATTGCGAGGAATAACAAATACCTAATGCATTACTACATACTGTACTTCATATCAATTGTTGATAGTACACAAATAAATGTGCCAAAGAATGGGAGAGCATTCATATGGAAGCTCAGTATACAAGATAAATGATGTTTACCCATTATTTGGCCCCAAAGGAGGGTGGGGGGGTGCATCAGGCTGGGCCGTCATAAATCCTCAGAGCCCCACAATAAGCAGCACCATTTTCCAGACCTAACCTACTCTTAACACAAAGTATCCCTGAAGCCCTGTCCTCACCCAAGCAGAGATGTGGCTTGACACACAGAATCTGCATTGTATTTGCTCAGGTTAAACAGTGGCTGGTCTGACTGGCTTGGTAAGTAACCACATCCGAGAGCCAGGCCCCATCAACTGTCCAGCCACCAACACTGTTCTACCAAGACTGTCAATAAGAAGAAATATACACTAGTAACAACCTCATTGAGTCAATAATTAGATTATCACCAATGCCAGTATAAATTCTGTGTGGGTGTAGGAATGAAGGCAAGTCTACAAGTCCATCAGGTTGGCACCCAGTCACTCATTGGTGTTTTTTTTTAGTTGGGCCCACAACATTGAGACGGCTCAACAGTGCCTTCTGGCGTCCCAGAACAAACCCCTCTCTTTACTTGCACCCACAAACACAACACAATCCTCCATCAGTATCTGCTCACTCTATCAAACCCTTCCATCAGTAACTTGCAGCTAATTGCTGTTAGCTACATGCTGTCCTATCCATCAAACATTTCGAATAACAAACTTCTACTACTTTTTGAGGTCAACCAGTCCACCCTCACACACACAGACCAAATATAAAACCCCTGACATCTCTTTTGTAAATGTCCTGTATCCCCTGTCTTCAGTGTTCTGTCCTCTGTCCTGTTAACATGCTATTTTGGTTTTCAATAAAAAAGTATCCAGTCTGTCTTGATAATCACTCTAATACACCAGAACTCCTTTTTAACCTCATGTCAGCTTGCTAATGCTACTAGGTGGCAAGCCTGCCTCATGGGTCAAACACTTGCGAATAACCCATCCTCTTGTGCTAGTCTGCCTCAGTTTAAATGTCGTGTTATGCACATATGTTAAGAATTCTACAAGTTTTAAGCCCAGCTATCCTTGCCTCAGTGGCAATATGGTACAGTTGCTACCGGGTTATGGCCCACATACAGTACCTTAGTCTCCACCCTTGTACTTCACCCTTAGCTTGTGTAACAGAGGAAAAAATAGACCATCAAATAAAATGTCTACAGCCAGCCTCCACTGGGTAGATGTTGGCTTCTCAGTGACACGCCTCTGCCTCTGTAGCCAGTTCTGTGTATTTTTCCTCTCTTAAGCTGTTTCTGCAATATCTTCACAGGGAAGTGTAAGCTCCACAAAAAAAAAAAAAACAGCCCATTATGTATCTGACTGCAGCACAAGATTTGGTTTTGATTAGTGCTGGCTATCTCCTGAGGTACTAAGAGCCGATTTCTTAAATCTGCTTTCATCTGCCAGTCTCTATCTGCCTTTAGCTGCCCTACATCTTGCCTGTTTCACCCTCAAACCAATCAAATCTCCTCTTGTTTCTGTTTCTTCTCCACTGAGTTTAGCTTACTTTCCATAACTGCTGCTCAACACTTGGCACATGAGATGTGTATTATCTTGGTGAATTTTAATGAATGCCTCTGTCTCTGTGTCTTAGGTATGGGCCCCATGCCTTGGACGGTGAACTCGGAGATCTACCCACTTTGGGCACGCAGCACCGGCAACGCCTGCTCAGCTGGGGTCAACTGGATCTTTAATGTCCTGGTGTCGCTGACCTTTCTCCATGTTGCTGAATATCTGACCTATTACGGTAAGACTCCATCAGGGGGTCTGTTGATTGTAAATACATTCATAGTCTGCGTTCACATGTGAGGTGAGAGCTTTGTTTAGAAAAGCATGTGGGGTCTGGTGTCAGTGCTTTGCTCTAGGTCGTGCGTTTTGCTGTTTTTATACACTCACCAGCCACTTTATTAGGTACACTTGTACAATAATATATATACACTTCAAGTGTATATCGGTGAGGAGGAAAAGCAGAATAAACCTCTGACAGACCACTGGCTGTCACACATCATGCATATACAATGTCAAATGATTTTGTTGTAAAATTGGCTGCTATAGCTCAGAACCACACAGTGGAAATTTACAAGCGAGTCTCTGCTTTCCAGGGGCGTTCTTCATGTACACAGGCCTGGTGGTGCTGGGTCTCCTGTTTGTCCAGGGCTGCCTCCCAGAGACCCAGGGCCTACAGCTGGAAGATGTCGAGAACCTGTTCTCCGGTCAGCTCTGCTCCTGTGGAGCCTCCTCACCCAACAGCAATCGCCACGTCCACTACATCCGGGTAAAAGGGAGCAACCACCTCCTCTCTGACAACGATGCCTCTGATGTAGAGTAATCTGGGAAAGCGTTCTTTCTTCTTTTGGTTTTCTGTCTTTTTTGGAAAGGCTCCCGATGTGGGAGGAACAATCAGCATGTTGTCTTCTGATGGCTTCAGTCAGACATTAGGCTTTAGCTCTCCAGTGATTGATTATAGCCAGTGCTTTCCTCTGCTCAGGAGACTCTTTCATCAAACATCTTTTCCTTCTGCCTTTTCTCTCACCTGGGAGTTGGTCTGTTTTTCTTTTTTTTACAGTTGTGCATTTCTTCTTGTTGTGCATGATCTGCCCTCTGGACCAGAATTAGGTTGAGCAGGGTTCATCTGAACAGTGTTGCTCAGACTTATAGTGCGTTATAAACAGTGCTTGAAGTGGACCAGTGCAGCAGTTTGACTGACTTTACCTGCTGCTTGTAATGAATAAATAAATAGTGTGACTATAATTTTTACTAGTATTTTTAAGTCATCTTCATTTTATTTAAAACTATATTTGGGCAATTAGGGGCAGCACAGCAAGCTGCAGCCTAAAGGAGTTACTGAATACACCCCCGCCTTCAAGCACCGGTTATAAATGATGTCACAAAACTAAATGAGCATACTTTTTAAGGAAAGTCCTTGTTTAACAAACTGATGATATGAATTTTAATAACATTAAAGATGAACTGTGCCTTATTTGGATATGGGCATAGCTTTACATTCTGTGAAACTCTTTCAGAACATTCCTGGATTTTTTTGTTTCTCTTGATTGGTGTGTTTGTAAAACAGATGATTATGTGTTGCTGCTATTGTCTGTACAATGGGAGAGATTTCAAGGTGTCTTTGTTAGAAAAAGAGATTTTTATATGTCCGATTGCTACACTAGAGTTGCTCACATCTTGAATTTTCAGCAAGGTTTGGAATTGAGCCCAACACACTATGGAGCGATGGAGCCAGACTCTACAGTAGCTTATATAACTGTAAGTACCCCATCAAGGTGCCAAGTATAATGTTTCTGCCATGTGACAGCTGTTCTAAATATGCCTTTTTTAAATGTTCAATTTCATGTTCCTTTTTCCCGCAGCTCCAGTAGCCTGAACAACTTTAAACAGAGCACCCTTGTGCAGAGTCCTATTTGCACTAATGCACTTTGATATATTCCTTTTGCTTTGCTGCTTTAGTGCTGCTTTCATATAAAAACTAATTTCTTATTAAAGGTTTTCTGATATAGTCATATTTTATTACAGTTCAGGGTAGAAATTGCCACATCTGTGCAACTGA